TGATCAGATGAATCTGGAAGTTCTAAAGCACCTGCTACACCTTCCCCACGCCTAGGGGATCAGGAATCTGTGGCAAGGCCAAAGGCCAAGCACTTTCTGCTCCCTGAGACGCAGTTACTTCCTCTTGTGGACCTTTGTTCATTCTAGAAATATTTGGAGAAGGTCTGGTAAGTGTTAAGCACTTTTCTACACTGAGATAGAGGAGAGAACAGAAAGCCCTATGGAGCTTACATTCTAGTGTGTGTTTTGGGGGTGGGGAGCGGTGACAATACATAAAATATATGGCACATCAGATAGTGATGCTGGAAAACAAAGATGCTGGAAAACAAAGCAGGAAGGATAATTTGTGCTGCTTGGGAGTGGGGTGAAGACATGCTCTTTTAAATAAAGTCATCAGGGAAACCGTCTTGGAAAAGGTGACATTTAAGCAGACAGCTGAAGGAAGTGAAAGGAAAATCAGCAAGACACTGAGAAGCAGCCTCAGCGAGGCAGGAGGCACACAGAAGAGCATGGTGCTGAGAAGCCAAGTGAAGACAGTGTTTCAAGGCGGAGTGAACTGCACACAATGCTGCTTATTGGGGGGTGGGCCACTATGAGGCTGGAGAACTGGCCGAGGGACTTGGCAGCACTGGAGATCAGTGGCATCCAGCAGGCTGAAGAGAGTGGGGGGAGGGGAGAAGTTGGAAGTTGAGGGGGATTAAGAGCAAAGAGGGAGGGGAAGAACTGAAGACAGTGAATAAAAGCAACTTTTTGAGTGTAGTTATAGAGGGAAGCAGGGGAATGGGGCAGCAGCTGGAAGCTAATGCAGAGTCAAGAAAGGCTTTTCCAAGACGGGAGACACACCTGGGTCTCTAATCCTGCTTCCCTTCATCTTTTCTCTCACTGCACACAAATCTACAGCCTTTTTGACCTCCCTCCTCAAACCCAAAAATATTTTTGCAAAGTGTGTTCCCCAGAGGGTTGTGAGTTGTAGACAGTGAAAGCCACAGTCTTTTGTTCCTCTTTTTGCTCTGTCACATCCTTCCTTGGCCAACTCAGTCAGGGGGTGAAATTCAGGAGCAGAAAAGACAAAGATATGTGAACATATCCTTCTGCGTCATTCAGTTGGGCCCTTTATCAACCTGGAGGCCCCTGCATAAACATGGGACTCCCTGCCTGCCTGCTGCTGGTCTGGCAGGCGCTGGCCGAAACAGCAGCCCCTGAACTCCAGTCATTCTTGGATAGACTCTGTGATTCCTGATATTTCCCCTTGTCATATGTGGTTCTCACTTCATGTTTATCTGTCCTCCTTTAAAACATGTTTCATCCTTTAAAACATGTTTTGTAGTTAAACTCACATAAAACTCACTATTTCATTTATTTTTCTATTTTATTTATTGATTTTAGAGAGAGGAAGGGAGAGAGAAAAACATCGACTTGTTCTGTAACAGGGTGCAGCCGAGAGGGGGGCCCCAAACAGGGATTTGGAATGGGGTCCAGAACTCAAGGTGTTCAGGAAATATTAGGATGTCCTCACTACCCCCCACCCCTACAGGTGTGGGTTGAGGGAAGGGACAGATGGAGAAGGGCCATTGCGAGCTGTTTTGCGTAGCAACATCTTTGTGTAGGAACAGCTTGGCAGCTAACCTCTGGTGTGGTCACTTAACATATCTATAACCTTTATCTAGTTACATGGATATGTTAAATAGCTGTGGCCATGCTCTGAGCCTGGGGAATGGAAGTAACTTCCCCACCAAGACATAACTGGGGGGTAGGTCCCCCAGAGTTACAGCACCTGAGTGGGAGCTTGGAGAAGATTGGCTCCATGACATGGGGCCACCCTGCCCGGACTCACGATGGCAGCCCAGTAAAGCTGGAAGGGTATGAGAGGGCTAGCAAGTGTAGCTGATGGTGGGAGGAGTCGGAAATGGGGCTGCAGAGGAGGATTGGCTCGGGGATTTAAACCCAGATGTGGCAGCCATTGAGGAGGGAACCGTGAGGCCTTGGCAGAGTGGGGACTCCCACGGCCATTGTGCAGAGAGAGCCACACAGCTGTGGACATGTAAGGGAGAACCACGTGGTTTTGGCAGAGTGGAGATTCCTGCAGCCATTGTGCAGGGAGAACCACATGGCTGGGGCAGTGGAGATAGAACCTCTCGGCTTTGCCAGAGTGGGGACCCCCGCAGCTTTAGAAGGGGAAACCACCACCCAGCTTTAGCAGAGATCCCGGCGACACAGCTGATGGTGCCAGGAACCAAGGGAGGCCTCCCAGCTGAGACAGATTACTGAGAACCGGGGGCTGCCTGAGCCTCGGACTTCTATTTCTTTTCCTGAGATATGGTACCCCATACTGGACAAAGGGGGGAAGGAAGTGATAGGGTCTTAAGACTTGGAAAATCTTAGCTTAAGGTAAATAGCCATAAATCTAGCAAGTAATGTGTATGTTAAGTTTTTGTTTCAGAAACTACAGGTAAGGCCCATCCTGGCACCTGAGAAAAAGCAGATGACCTCCTGGGGCGCTGGCTAGAGATTACTGCCTGGAGACATCCATAAGGGAAGAAGCAGGCGACGACTACCCTCCCCCTTGGAGACAGCTAATTGCCCAGGACAGAAATGCTACAGCTGCTAAATTTCAAAGCTCTCGCCAACCCTTGTTTTTCCTCCCCCAACCCCCTTATAAAAGATCTGGCCAGGAAAGAAAGGGGAAGATGGCTTTGTTAGGGTATGAACCCACCATCTTCTTGGATCGCCAGCCATCTGAATAAAGTGCCTACAAAAGATTCAATTGCTGTCATTGCTTATTGGATTTGGTAGTGACAGGCAGCCCGAATGCCGGTGTCTTTTCCGGTTACGGAAGGACTGTGCGTGTTTGTGGGTATTTTAAGGGACTTTGGGATTTTGATGAAGACATTTGGTCACTACTTTACGTCTGTATAGCATTAAATAAACATTTCCTTTCCTTTTCACAAATCTCTGGCATTGAGAGAGTCTTTCCTCTGGTGCCAGACATAACAAACTTGGGAAGTTCCTTTCGGGTAATAGCAGATCATCCTAGGCCCCCCTTGCTGTTCTGTAACAGTTCCATTTATTTATGCATTTGTTGGTTGATTTCAGTATGTCCCCTGACTAGGGATCTAATCAGCAACCTCGGGGTATCAGGACAGTGCTCTAACCACCTGAGCTACCCTATTTTAAAGTGTACAATTCAGTGGGTTTTAGAACAGCCACGATGTTGTGCAACCATTACCACTATAGTTCCAAAAACTTTCTGTTGAACCCAAAAGGAACCCTGCACAACATTTCTCCCCACTTCCTCCAGCTCTTGGTAACCACCAATCCGCTCTTTGGATCTGCTTATTTTATAGAAACAGAATCACACAATATGTTGTCTTTTATGTCTGGTTTCTTTCACTTAATGTAGTTGCTCCATTTGTGCCTTCTTTTGTATTTCTTTTTTTTTTGCTAGAGTACCATTTTGATTCCCTTCCCATTTTCTTTTCTGTATATTTTTTATTTTCTTACGTATTTTTTTAAAAAATTAAAGGTTTCATTTATTTATTTCTAGAGAGAGGGGAATGGACAGAGAAAGAGACGGAGAGAAACATCAGTGTGTGGTTGCCTCTTGAACACCTCTCACTGGGGGCCTGTCCTGAAACCCAAGAATGTGCCCTGACAGGGAATTGAACCAGCGATCATTGGTTCACAAGCTGGTGCTCAATCCACTGAACCACACCAGCCAGGGCTATTTCCTTATTTTAAAAGGAAATCTTATTTTGCAATTATAAAAATTTTAAAAAATTATTCAATATATATTAATATACAGAATCAGAATTAAAATACAAAAGAGCACTGTTCAATAGAAGTATTTTTAAGGTAGTGTCTACTGACATTTTGTGTTGTTTTACTAATTTACTAAATAAGGCTGTTTTTATACTGTGGATCCCAAGAATGATGGACCCTTTAAGATGGACTTCTGGGGGCTAACTGGGCTGAAAGTTTTAAATTGTCTATAGTCATTACCAAACAAGGGGCTTCCCATGCTGTCTGCACTTCATGAAAAAGCTGCATGGAGCAGCCTCCTCCTACCCTGCGCTCCTGCCAGCTGGGCCACCCTTACAAAGGAGCTCCTCGGCTGTACATCTACCACTGGGCTGCCACACAGGAGCCACCACGCGGTTTCACAGCAGTGCTGCTCACTGGCTGAGCTGTTTGCATGGAATAAAGTCTCTCCCTTCACTGCACCCCAAACTGGGGACTCCCGTTGGTGTTGAATTGGCACCAATGACCTTTGACCTTCAGTTGACAATACAGGGTTTAGTAATCTCTAGTCTACTCCTGAGAGCAGGACACCCACTACTCTCCAGGGTTTCACATGGCCCTAGGGAAATGGGTCTGAGTTCTATCAACCCAAGTTTCCGGTGGGAACCCAAAGTGGCCTGTCTGCATTCCAGGGGAAAGAAAGGTTGCAGATCACAGGCACCGGTGTTATCACCTTTGTTGTGCAACCACATCATTCACAAGTACAAAGCATTCCACATGGCACCCATACCTTGGTGTGTGTATTGGGGTTGTGGACAGCCCCATGTCCTGGGAGCGAGCAACAATCTAGAACGCCTCTAGGGCGTGATCCAACTCAGAGCGGACAGGAGGAAAGAGGAGTGAAATGGCCCAGGTGAGGATAGCCACTAGTCAGATCAGTCACCTGCTCTTGGATAGACTGAAGGTCCAGGGCGGCCAAGACATCTGGATTTTCCAGGGAACACAGGAAATCTGGATTTTAACTGTTAAATAACTCCAGATTCTTAAATGTTGGCAACTAATGCACAATTTTAAAATCAGGGGGGTTGGGTCCTGGCCGGGATGCTCAGTTGGTTAGAGCGTCCTCCTGATACACTGAGGTTGTGGGTTTGATCTCCCTTAAGGGCACATACAAGACTCAAACAGTGAATGCAAAAATGAGTGAAACAACAAATTGATGTTTTAATCTTTCTTTCAAATCAACAAATAATAAATGAGTAAATCAACGCGGGTTGGGCAAATCCTATCTGTGTACAAGATTATCCCCGGAGAGTGCGTGTATTCCAAGGAAAAGAAAAGGAGGCCTGCAGCAGAGAAGCGACTCGCCAAAAACCAAACAGCCAGGTGGGGAAAGCAGAGCCCCAAGTTTCCAGACAGCTGCTTTCCTGGAACAGCTTTCTGGTCGTAAAATACACCTATCCCGGACTCAAACTGAAATCCCTTCCGCTGGACGGCCAAGTGCAAGGTCCGCGACCTCGCCCGGCACCGACCGCCTCACCGCACCCTCCACCCCTGAGCGCCCCAGGTTCCCAGACTTCGCCCTGCGTCCCCAAGGCCAAGAATGTCATCGCCTGCCACCCCATTCACCCTGCCTCCCACACTGCCGCACTGCCCGCTACAAGCCTGACACCCACTGCGCGCTCCCAAAGGGTCACGCACAATCCTCCTCCACGGCCCTATCGCCCCCTCCCAAGACTGGCTGTCGTCCAAGTCACCGGCCCACACCGGGCAGCGGGAGATCGACTTCGTGGGAGCGCAGCCCTCCCGAAATCTCGAGGAGTCCCAGATCGGGCCAAGACCACTGGGAGGAGGGAGGCGCGCGTGCGCCGCATGGATTTATTGCGTCACGGGGTCTGCTACGCGAGCGCGCCGCCCACGCATGCGCGCCTGCCAAACGCGCGCCGGGGCCGCTGAGTAGGCCCCGCGGTCCAGCGCCGCCTCCAGCAGTTGTGTGCGCGCCGTGGCCTCGGTCAGCATGTCCATGAGCACCTGCTGTTGCAGCCGCAGGTAGTTGTTCTCTTCCAGCAACTCCTGGCTGCGGACGCGCGGCACCTGCGCCTTCCCGCCCGGGCCGGTCAGCGGGCGCGACGGCGTCCTGGAGCGCCCCGGCTGGCCCTCCGCGGCCCAGCGGCCGCTGCGGAACACGAACGCCCGATCGTCCAGGCGCGTGCGCGGCGCGTCGTAGCTGAGGCCCAGCTCGGCCTGGCGCGCGCTGTGCTCCAGGAGGTAGAAGGTGGACATGGAGGAGATGCGGCGCAGTGGCGGGCGCCGCGGCGAGAAGCGCCGCGAGAAGTGGTCGGCCCAGAACTGCCGCAGCTGCTCCCACAGATGATTGGCGTGGTACGCGGCCGGCCACCGGAAGGCCTCCAGGTCGAGGGCCAGGTGGGCCCTGGCAGGCGCGTGGGTGCCCAGAGTGGAGCTGCTAGGACGTTGGTGACCGGAGTTGCACCCCTGCCTTGGGACCCCCGATGTTCTGAATGATGGAAGCGAGCTAGGGAGCAAGGACACGGGTGAGCAGCCCGCTCGGTGCTGGCTGTCCCCTCGGATCACAAGGCCCGGTGGTGGACAGGGCTTGGCCACGAGAAGCCATCCCTGCTGGTCATACTAGCAGCAGTTCCCCCAAAGCCACCTTCCCCAAAGACCACTCTGGGTCAGATCCTGCTGTCTAAAGACTGCGCGGATGCTGGGAGGGGTTATGGGGCTGAGAGGATGGAAGAAGAGCAGAGACAGGTCATTCAAAGACGTGCAGGACTTTGCCGGGTGTATTGGGTGTGGATAAGGGAGAGCCTGCAGGCAGAGGGGAAAGCCAGGCAAGGCTGCGTGTTCTAGAGGTGAGGAGGACCTTGGGGTGGGCTTGGCGCCCATTGCCCAGCTGGGAATAGCGGAGGAAGGGAGCTGGACGGGGGATAAGGGCACCACTGAGGGGTTACAAGTCTGGGACTGCATCTGGGTCTGCAGAGTGTCCGGTAGGCTGTCTAGTGTAACCAACGGCGCTGTTGCCCTCATCATTCACTTATACTGCAACCTTGAACTGGCACCTCCGTGCCAGCCCCCGTCTGGGCAGGGGGTCCCAGGCTGTGCCCCTCTTCCAGATGCTGTCGGTGCAGTTGGGGGCGTTTATAGATAGTCCAGTGTGCTCAGCGACATCCTGGGGGCACATGCCAGGGGCTAGAACCTCTGCTTAGGACTCGAGGTAACAGGGAATTGTGCAGACTACACCTAACTGTGGTCCCAAGCACACTGCATCCTCAGGGAGCTAAAATCTCGCCCCCCTGTAAGTGCCGATTCTGTTGTGTGAGGACTGTTTGCTCTGCTTTAAGTTCCTCTTCCCATGAAGTGTGAAAAGGGAAAGAACCCTGGAGCAGGCCCCTCTGTCGGGCCTTCATTACTTGCACACACACTCCTCACACAGAGCTGGGTAGTGGCTGGGTGGTCTCTCCCAGCCAGGGACACACCTTCGGAAGCCTGCAGAGGACCCACGAGGTGCAACCAGGCTCACCCTTAAGGTGGCATCTTCCCAGAGGACCCTTCCCCGAGAATGCAAGCTGCATGTTGTCCCTCACCTGGAGGATGTGCTGGAGGTGCTGAGCTGCTGTCCCAGGCCTGGTGCAGTCTGTGAGCCCCTCAGCTGATGCCCACCTGCTACGACTCACAATGCCTCCAGGCTAGATCAGCCCAGAACAAAAGGAGTGCTGCCTGCCAAGCCCTGCCAAGCCCTGGGCTCTGCTGTGTTCAAGGCACTGTTCTAGGGATGTATCCCTCAGGGAGCTCTCATTCCTGGGGGCAAGTCTTAAGCACAGCCTGAGATAGGAATTTGTTCCAGGGGAGGGAACTCAGTGAAGCTAATGCAAGGTCGGATACCCTGGAGGCAGAGCCTGAGGTGAGAACTCTTGTTTGATTTATTGGAGGTGTCCTTGGAGGGGGGAGAGAAGCAGGTCAGGGCAGGGAAAAGAGCTGAAGGGGAGCAAGAGTTCGGCCTTCAGTGGAGACAGGCCCCAGCCCAACCACACAGGTAGCTGCCAAATTGCCCCACGGAGTGCGGCCTCCTCGCCAGGGGTCAGGACTGGTGCCAGCAGCGCTCACACGTCAGGCAGAGCCAGGTGGTTGGGCCACCTCCTGGGAAACTTTGTTCTAGAGCAATAAACTGCATAATGTGTATAATGTACAGTTGGATATGTTCTGCTGATGTATGAAACTATTACTCAAGATGATGAAGGCATCCATTAGCTTCAGAAGTTTCCTCTGCTCCCATCACTATAGAATCATCTGCATTTTCTCGGATTTTATGTATATACAATTCAGTATGCAATTTTTAAAAAATGGTATTTATTTAAAGGTCTTATTTATTTACTTTTAGAGAGAGGGGAAGGAAGGGAGAAAGAGAGGGAGAGAAACATCAACGTTTGAGAGATACATCAGTTTGCCTCTCACACGCCTCCATCTGAGGGCAACCCAGGCACATGACCTGACTGGGAGCTGGCGATCTTGGTTTGCAGGCATGCGCTCAGTTCACTGAACCTGACCAGCCAGGGCCAATTTAGTATGTGATTTTGCACAAGCTTCTTACAGCGTAATTATTTTGAAATCCATTCATTTTGTATTTATCAACAATTCAATCCTTTTATTGATGAATAGCAGTCTGTTGTATGCAAATACCACGATTTGTTTTTCCATCCAGTGTTGATGGGGAATTTAGGTTGTTTCCAGTTTGGAAGCTTTTACAAGCACAGCTACTGTGAACACCTGTGTGCGAGGGTTTGGGTGTCCGTGTGCTCTCATTTCTCTTGAAGGAGTGAGTACTCAGGAGTAGAATGCCCAGGTCAAATGGTAGGCGTATATGTACCTCTTTGTGAAGTTACCACTTTTTCCAGAATGGTTGTACCATATCCTCACCACCACTGAGTTTCTGTTCCTCCACGTACTTGACAACATTTGTATGGTAAATCTTTTTAATTTTAGTCATTCTAGTGTGTCTAAACCATGACTTTTAATTTCATTTCTCAGAGCTAAGAATGTTGGACATCTTTTTGTAAGAGGGTGCAGCCATGGGGCCCCCTGAAGAAGGATTTGTAATGGGGTCCAGAACTCAGGGTATCCAGGAAATACTAAAAAAAAACATGGGATGTCCTCACCCCCACAGGTCTGAACTGGGAAAAGGGACTCTTGGAGTAGGGCCATTGAGAGCTGTTTTGCAAATAACCTCAGGCATCGACACTTAACATGTCTATAAGTTTTAACTGGTTTCATAGATATGTTAAATAGCTGTGGCTACACTCTGAGCAGGGGGATAGGAGTGACTGACCCAGGATGTAACTGAGAGGCAATTCCCTCTGGTTACAGCGCCTGCGTTAGAGCTTGGAGATGATTGGCTCCACACCATGGTGCTGCACCTGCCCAGACTTACTATGGCAGCCAAGAAAAGGCTGGAAAAAAATACAAGAATGCTGGCAGGTGTAGCCTATTGTAGGAGGAGTCAGAAATGGGGCTGCAAAGGAAGATTGGCACTGGGATTTGAACCCAAGTGTGCCAGCCATGCTGGATGGTTGGGACCACATGGCTTTGGGGTGCTCTCTTTTGCTAAGTGGCTTAGGAAGCGGGAGAGACCTTGTTGGGAAGGAAAGGAGTGAAAGGACTATTGCTGGTGGGCCATGAGAAGGTGCTACGTGGTTTTGGATTAACTGGAAATCATGGTGGTGACACAGCTGATGGTGCCAGGAACCAAAGGGCTGCCTGAGCCACAGACTTCTACTTCTTTTCCTGAGATACGGTACCCTGGGCTGGGCAGAGGGGGGAAAAAGGACTGTGTACGTTTGTGGGTATTCTAAAGGACTTTAGTATTTTAATGAAGACATTAAGCCATTACTCTAAGTGTGTATTACTTTTTAAATAAAGTTCTTTTTCACCAATCTCTGGCATTGAGAGACGTCCTTCCCTGGTGGCGGGCAAGGTGAACCTAGTATGGTGGGAGAACCCCTGGAACACAAGAGGGGGTTCCATTCAGTAATAGTGTTTGTTCATGCCCCGGGTCTGTTCTGTAACATTTTCATGTGCTATTTGTCACCTCCCTGGTGATATTGTTCAAGTTTTGCCAATTTTATTTTCCTGGATTGTTTGTCTTGTTGAGTATAAGGAGTTCTTTAATGCTATGTATTTGTCAGCCATGTTTTGCAAATATTTTCTCCCAGTCTGTGGCTTGCCTTCCTCTTTTTCTTTCTCCCTTTCTTCTTTCCTTTCCTTTTTTCCATTCTTTTTGTTTGTTTGTTTTGAATTTTTTATGAGCATTTATTTGAGCCAAACTTATGACATATGCCAAGGAGCAGGATCTCAAATGCTGCAGAGAATGACAGCTTTTCAGCTTTTTGTACATTTGAAATTATGAAGGAAGATTATATAGATGCGGGAGGGAGAAAGGTGATGATTGTATTACAGGGCAGTTAACAAGATTATGTGCTCTCCTGAGGGTGGTCACCTGTAGAAGGAAGGGTCTGAAAAGACCCATTTCCAAAGGTGTGTTAACTTATCCCTGGCTGGTGTGGCTCAGTGGATTGAGTGCCATCCTGCAAACCAAAAGGTTTTTGGTTTGATTCCCAGTCAAGGCACATGCCTGGGTTGTGGGCCAGGTCTCCAGTTCGGGGTATGTGAGAGGCAACTGATCAATGTGTCTCATACATTGACTGATGTTTCTCTCCCTCTCTTTCTCCTTCCCCTTTCTCTAAAAATAAATAAATAAAACATTAAAAAAAAGTGTGTTAACCTAGATGTACATAAACAATGAATAGGGCTGGCTTAAAGCAAAAAGCAAAGATGGGCCTTTTACTAAAAAATTACATCCCTGGGGCATGACTACCCATCAAGACCCACCCAGTTAGGAATTTATGATCAGATCACCCTATAAGGTTACTTTTTATAGAACCCCCCTTTTTCATCCACAGTTCCTCCTCTTAGTCATAAGTCAGTCTGAAGGATTTAGTAATGACTAACCTTTCAGTGGGATAGTGTGGTGTCACAGCACTAGGAAGGCTTGCTCCTGGAAGTCTCAGAATCCACATCATCTTCTTGGCCATTGGGGATGGGGCAACGCTGCTATCGTGCGATCTATGTTAAGGTCAAATTTTTTCCAAAAACACAGAGAACAAGTATATTATTATAACTAATATCATTAACAGACAGGTAAAGACAAACAAAATGGATTCTGAGTTCATTATCAATCAGTGGGTATACAGGCCTTGTTGATGTCTTGGGAGAGCTGTCCACCTCTGATGTCAGCGGCTTCTCAGCCTTGAGGAGTCTCTGATTACCACAGACAGGAGTAGATCTCCCTTCGTGGTTAGTTGCCTGATAAGGTCCCTTCCAGTAAGGTTGGAGAGTGTCTTTTATTGGATGTCCTTTCCAATAAACAAAGGTGGCAGTCAATAACCTTTAAAGTCTTTATTTCCTGGGAGCTCCCTGTGAAAGGAAGTGGTTACCAAGTTGGCATTTTTTCAAAGTGACTCTATCAAACCCTGGCAGTAATGTATGGTGTCACCTTTCAATAATGTTCCCTCATAAATTCCTTCATCAAAGTCTAGATTAAATTCACTGTGATTCGTGAAGGAATGTAAAAACCAAAAAGTGGGGAGCTGGGGAGTAGGAAGGAACCCAAAGGCCATCTTGGGTTTCCCACAGCCTCATTGTTAGTTTCTTTTTTAAAAGATTATGTTTTATTGATTATGCTGTTATCATTGTCCTGACTTTTACCCTTTGCCATGTCTCCACTCAGCACCACCCCCCTCCCTCAGGCAATCCACCCACCATTGTTCATGTCCATGGGTCATGCGTATAAGTTCTTGGGCTACTCCATTTCCTATGTTGTACTTTACGTCCCCATGGCTATTCTGTAACTACCTGTTTTTTGCCATTTTATTGTTCCTAGTTTTGATCTTTTTCTTAAATAAATCTCTGTAATATTTCCTATAATGATGGTTTGGTGATGATAAACTCCTTAATTTTTTTTCTTGTCTCAGAAACTCTTTACTCTTCAATTTTAAATGATAGCTTTACTGGATAGAGCAATCTTGGCTGTAGGTCCCTGCTTTCCATGACTTTGAATACTCCTTGCCAGTCCCTTCTGGCCTGCAAAGTTTCTTTTGAGAAATCAGCTGTCATCTTATGGGAACTCCCCTGTAGGTAACTATTTGCCTTTCTCTTGCTGCTTTTAAGATTCCCTCTTTATCTTTAACTTTTGCCATTTTAATTACAATGTGTTTTGGAGTGGGCCTCTTTGCATTCATCTTGTTTGGGACTCTGTGCTTCCTGGACTTGCATGTTTATTTCCTTTGCCAAATTAGGGAAGTTTTCTTTCATTATTTTTTCAAATAGATTTCCAATTGCTTTTATTTTTTAAATTGTTAAAAAAATTTATTTATTTATTTTTAGAGAAAAGGGAAGGGAGGGAAAAAGGGAGAGAAACATCAATGTGTGGTTGCCTCTTGCGTGCCGTGCCCCCTACTGGGGACCGAGCCCACAAGCCAGGCATGTTCACTGACTGGGGATCGGACCCAACATCCGATGGTTCACAGGCCTGTGCTCAATCCACCAAGTTACGCCAGCTAGGGAAGACGTCCAATTTCTTGCTCTTTCTCTTCTCCTTCTGGCACCCCTGTGATGTGAATGTTGGACCTCTTGAAGTTGTCCCACAGGCTGCTCATACTATCCTCATTTTTTGGATTCTTTTTTCTTGTTCTGATTGGTTGCTTTTGCTTCCTTCTGTTCCAAATCATTGATTTGATTCTTGGCTTCATCCACTCTACTGTTATTTCCTCATAAATTGTTTTTTATTTCAATTAGTACATCGTTCGTTTCTGACTGGATCTTTTTTATGCTGCTGAGGTCCTCACTGAGTTCTTTGAGCATCCTTATAACCAATGTTTTAAACTGTGCATGTGACAGATTGCTTATCTCCATTTTGTTTAGTTCTTTTTCTGGAGTTTTGATCTTTCATTTGGTGGTAGTAGTAGTATGGCCTAATGCAGTAGGTGTCCTGTGGGGTCCAGTGGCACAGCCTCCCCTATCACCCAGGCTGGATACTCGAGGTGCACCCTGTGTGGGGGCTGACTACATTCTCCTCTTGTAGTTGAGACTTGAATGCTGTTGGCAGGCCGGTGGGAGGGGTTTACCCAGGCCAGTCAGCTGCAAGGACTGGCTGTGACCACTGACCATCAACCTCCACCATCCATGGCGGATCAGTTGTGCAGTGGCAGGTGGTGGTGCTCTGACATGGTCTGTAGCTGTCCAGTGGGTGCACTGGCCCTGGGGTTCCCCCTGGTGGTGCAGGCCAAGGTCAGCCCCCACTCGCATTATGCCTGAGGCCACCCTGCCTGAGCTATTAAGCAATCAGATGGCTGCTGCTTGTGTTGGATTTAGAGCTTCCCAGGTGAAACTAGGCTGGCTGCTGGTAGTGCCAGACCTGGGGTTCACAAGGTCAGCTGCTGCTTGTTTGAGAGGATTTAGGAGGTTGTGCAGCCTGAACCAAGACCAGCCATTCATATGGAAAAGCAGCCTGGGTGAACCGGTAAAATGGATGGGACAGTCTCCGGGGCTCTCCAAGGTGGGTCAAACAGTGTTAGGTAGATTGATAGAGTCTCACTATGGCACCAGCTTGCCAGCTCTGTGTGTGGAGGGTTTAAAAAAGGGACAATGGCCTCTACTCGCCTTGATGCCAGACACTTCAGTTTCTCCCTATATACCAATGGAGGCTTTCAAGCTGCTACCCCGGAGCCAGAGCTCAGAGGGAGTGAGTCAGAATAAGTGAGTCCATGTGTGGGTTCTTTAGGAGGAACTGCTTGGGGCTCCAGAAGTTTCTTCCACTGTCTCCATCCCCGCCAGTTGTTGCAGCCAGAAGTTGGGGAGACTTATCTTCCTGGCACTGGAACCCTGGGCTGGGGGTCCTGGTGTGGGACTGGGACTCCTTGCTCCTGAGATACC